GAGAGAACTGAGACAGACAGAGACAGAGAGATACAAAAAGATAGACAATGACCATGGATTAATCCAGAGGTTGAGGACTCATCTGAGAAAGAGCTGGCTGGGGCTGTAGGTGGAGAGACAGGCATTGCAAGGCAGGAGGGGAGGAAAGAGGGCCCTTCTGGACTGGGGATTCACAGTTCCAGGGAGGACAGGAACCATGACCTTTTGCACAGGGCTGGCCTGGTAGCTATCCCTGGGTAGACCCCTTACTGAGCTCTGGGGACCAGGTGTGACTTGCCTGTTGTATGCATCCAGATGCTGGGAGTCCATGGAACACAGGGTAGAGATTAATGGTCCAGACTTGGGGGGAGGGACAGGGACAGAAAAGGAGCCAGAAAGGCAAGGGCCAGTACCTCTGAGACAACCCCCAGCCTGTCTAATGTGTCTCCTGCCAGCTATTCAAACCCCTTCCCCTCTGTAGCCCCCATTCTCAGGGCCTGGGGTGCAGATGGGAGGGGATCTGGTGACAGAGTTACGGGATACCAGCTGACACGCAACAACCCAGGTGAAACCTAAGCTGCAGTCTAGGCCCTCGGTCCCCACCCTCGGGCTCCAGGCAGATGCACAGGTCTGGCTAGGCTAGCAGCTGTGCCCTGTGTTCCCTTCTCTGTGACTGAAGCGGCATAGTGGCTTTTTAGGGGGTCCTGGAGTTGGAACCCCAAGAAGGGTGCTGTAGGCCCCCTGGTCCCGAAGTCCTGAGGACAAAGGTGTGCCTAATGGAACCTGAGTCTCACAGCTGCTGCTGAGAAGCTGATCAGGGAGACGGGCATAGAAGCCAGAAGTCCAATTCTATTCCCAGCACTGGTAGCTGAGTAACCTGCTCCTCAGTGCCTCGGGGACTCCACGGATGACAGTTTCAGCCTATCCTGCCTCTTCCAAATGCAGTGAAGTTCCAAAGATAGAATTTAGGTCAAAAGACCCTAAGGAGACATCCTTGAGGATCTTGGGGTGACACTGGGGGCCCTGGCTTACTCCACGTCCACCACCCAGCCTAGAGGTGCCTCTCTGGAACAGCAGAGTGTCTGTTCCAACTCACTGTGCCCTATTTTTCCTCTCCCCCCTCAGACTGGAGCTGAGACAGGGACTCAGGTGTACGTCTGTCCCCAGTGCCAGGCACAACATGATACGATCCAAGGCTGACTCTCCTTTGACTTTCATGTCCCTTCCAGGCTACAACCATTCTGTACTGTATCTGCCTGTCCTCAGTGCCACATACATGCACAAGCACATTGTGCATGTGCCCAGCCCCAAGCTTCCCTTGTACAGAGTACCCATCTTCCCCGGGCAGGGCCCCGGCCTCAGAACTTGCCTTCCCTGTGCAAGGCCCACTTCCTGTGTCCTTTTCTTCTGAGCCCTGAGAGATCAAGGCCTAACTTGTTAGCCTGATTCCCAGGGCAGTGTCCTATTGGATAATTAATTCATGGGATGTCACAACCGGAGAGAGCAAGACTATAGGAATTTACAGACCCACTAACTCTCAGGCTGTACTGACTTCACTGAGGTGCTTTGCCTGTGTGGTCCCAGGAGCCAACAGCCCTAACAGCAAGGATTATCTGCATTATAGGGAAGAGAAACTAGACTTTGGAGGGAAGGAGACGTGGCCAAGGTTGCAGAGCTAGCAAGCCGGCATGGTGGGAGCTGACTGCAGCCTGTCTGCCCTCAAAGGAGCCTGACATACTTCCTTCAGATACTGTGCTGAGCGGATCAGGTGCTTGGAGCAATGGTACGGGTAGCAGCTGGGGGAGGGCTGGGGGTGGGGGAGGCTTCTTGCTGGAGCCATGGGAAAAGATGCGCAGAAGAGTCAGTGTCTGAGACTCGGGAGCGGGGCACAAGCCCGGAGCGGCTCCACTCTCCCACTGCAGGTCACTTCCTGAGCCTGCCATGGAGCACTGGCAGCCCTATGCTCTCTGACCACAGGCCGGGAGGGCTCAGCTACTCACATTGCCTTCATCGTCCACCACCTGGATCTGCCCAGAGTCGCAAAGCTTCACCACAGCCCCGATGGGCACATCGAACTCCTGCCCAGATTGCAGGTCCATCCACACATAGTCCCCCTGCAGTGAGAGGCCCAAGCATGAGCAGGGAAGTCCCTTTCTCCACAGCCCTCTGCCTGACTGAGGGAAGGGAAAAGAGGGAGTTGTGCCAGCCATTACCCCCACGATGGTACCAAGCCCTCTTGTGGGACAGCCACTACTCTCCCTCTTTTACAGAGAGGTAAGAAGAGGCTTAGAGGGAAAAGCCAACCACACAGATGGACAACTTCCACCCAGGCCTGTCCAAAGCCTGTCCCAGGACCTACCCCTGGCAGTCACTGGGGTTTGGACACAAACACCAAACCACTTAGACTACTTCCTCTCTGTCTTTCATGTCCCCTGTACCATGTGGCCTGGAGTCTGGTTCTCAGACACAGCCCACAAACCAAGTCTAAAACTCAAAGTCAGAGAAATGGGCTTAGAACAAGTGCACCCAGTGCTGATGTGTTAAACACGCATGAAGAAGCACCTACTGACTACAAGGTGCTAACTGATTGAGGGCTGGAGATGGAGCTGAGGCTGTGGACTTGACGTCATAGTTGAAGGAAACAAAATGAGCACCTGAGCAAGTGTATTATTAATGTGACCCCTTTGGATACTGGTAGGTGCTGTGAAAGCAGTAAGGGTGCCAAAAGTGGAGGGTGGCAGAGGTGGCGAGCCTCTCCAGGCTGAGAGCTGAGGGGTGAGAAGTAGCCCACTGAGGAAAGGCCAAAGGTCAGTAATGGGGGGCTCATGCACGAAGGCTCCAAGACAGGAACAGCCAGGAGGCCTTGGTGGCAGGATCTGGTAACAGTGAGGGAGAACAGAGATGTGGACAGCAAGCAGAACATGAGAGACACAAAGATCCTTTGCCCTTGGAACAAAAGAATGGATTTTATTTTAATCCTAATATGATTTTGCGGGGGGTTCCTAAACTCCCAGAAGGTGAGAGAATTTAGAAATCCTGGTAAAAATATAACTTTATATCAAGTAACAGAAGTGTGACAGCTGATCAAATCCATCCATAGCCAAGCTATGGGAATGGCCCAGTGGGATGGCTTCAGGGTGGGTCAGCAGTGGCCTAGGTGGGTGGCCCTGGTTCCTGAGCCTCTGAGTCTTGGCTGCCTCACCCCATGCTGAGGGACAGACCTAGCGGATCACATACCGGCTCATGGCTGTCCCAGCCTTCTGCTCCTGCCAGGCCCTCATTTCATAAAATGTCAGAGCCAGGCCAAAACTTGAGCTTTCTTTCAGCAAAAGAGAAGCTGGAGGAGCTGCCGAGGAAGCGAGAAGCATGCTCCCAGAGCTGCTCCCTCGAGGCCGCATGGCCCTTTGTGGAGCTGTTGTGGAGCTGTGTGGGTAGTGGGTGCCTTTCCCACCCTGGGGTGCAGCAGGTACAGATGGAAGGGCTGCTGGGTGGGCAGGCCAGGTCACACAGCCCTGTGGGTCACAGGCAGGAGCGGACTTTCTTTCTTGTATGACTGGACGCCACCAGAGTCTTGAATTATCAAGCTCATCGTGCACCTACCCACCTGTCCCCCCAACAATTTGTCCCCACATCTGCTGGCTGTGCAGAGAAGGGCACATTTCCCTTGGGCTGCACAGTCCCCTACTCCCAACTCCCAGCACAGCCCCCCACTAGAACTCTCACTCCCCAGAGCTAAGCATGGGGCAGGGCTCAGTGAGCGTGGAGGGACAGTGAGTGATGGGAGAGTGTGTGAGCAAGTGTGTGGGTGTGACTGTGTATGAGAAGGTGAGTGCAGGGCCGGAGTGTGTCCAAGAGTGCCAGCTCAGGTGCCAGGTGAGCAGACCACCCCCTGTCTGCTCCATGGCAAGGTAGATGTCCCCTGTAAGGAAATGCCTGCAGCCTCACGACCACCCTCATGCAGGAGATTCTGTCTCCTCTACTCCTCAAAGAGGTCACAAAATGTGTCCAGGGCCGCACAGCTGCTTTGTGCAAAAGCCAAGACCAGACTCCGGCACTGGCAGACTCCAAGCCCAGCCCTCTTTCCCAACATTCCCTGTGCCCAGTTCTGAGCAAAACAGGACAGACTGATAAGGACCCTGGCCTAACAAGGAGTCACATGTATCCCCGGACCCAGGACAAGGCCTGGCACACAGGAAAGATTTGATCTTCATGGAGGAAACACAGACTAGCCAAAATAGAACACTTCCTGGCTAGGCATGGTGGTGCGGGCCTGTGATCCTAACACCCTGGCAGCTGAAGCAGGAAGATCACGAGATTGAGCCAAGCCTGGGAGATTCAGAAGCTTATCAAGACCTTGCCCAAACAATTTAATTTTTTTAAAGGGCTGGGATGTAACTCAATGCAAAGGCCTGTGGTCAATCCCCAGTACCACTGAAACAAAACAAAAATGAGCACCTCATGTGAGCAGGAAATAGAGGGTAGTAAGGTGTTCTGAGCCACACAGCAAGAAGGGACTAGAACACTTTTGACCTCCGGAAACGGTGTGAATGATTTTTATTTTCAAATCCGTCTCTCCATCTGTCACCAGTGGGGCAGTGATGACTATTTCTAATCCAGGTCAGAGCTTGAAGAAAGCTTTTTCAAATAACAACTTAAGGGGCTTCAGGGAGATTCTGAAGCAAGACAATCACTGAAGACACCCATTTTGCAGGTTCCAGGCAAAGTCCTGACATCAGAATCAGCCAGGGAATAAGGGTCTCCATTTTACCGGTGAGGAAACTGAGGCCCAAAGAGAAACAGCAATCTGACACAGGGAGTCATCAAATCAGTGACCAATAGGCTTATTGGCACCTAGGAGGAGAAGGGTTAGGGGAGGGAAGGGAAGGAGTAGGAGGCTCAGATGGAGGATGAAGCTTCACTGAGGCAGGAGGGGGCCCCAGGAAGGGGACCCTGCTCCAGGCCTCATCCCCAGGCTGTGGCCAGTCCCCAAGCTGGTGTGACATCTGGCCCCACTGCCCAGGGATGACTTCACACACAGTGGGATGAGCCGCACCTGGAAGTTCCCATCCACGACACGGCCTGTGCCTTAGTTTCTCGGATGTCAAATGAGTGGCTGGAGCAGAGGGACCCTTGGCATGTTCCCCCAGCTTTTCAGGCTCCCTGGCCTTGGCAGGGACTCCCCAGAAAGGGCCAATGCATGTATTCTCCAGGTCACCAGAGTCCCAGCACCCCTCAGCACCGCACGCACAGCGCATCCAGCACAAGGCCGCAGTGAGCGTGCAATCGAGTAAGGGCTTCCAGTCCCGAGTCTGCCCATAATGCCCTGCAACTTTAAGTCAGTCCTTCAGACTCTCTGGCCTCATGTTTTACCAGCCTTAATTAACACAGAAAGAGTCAGTGCAGGCAAAGAGAAGGCCTCCTACCAGGCACCGACCAGCCCCAGCCCTCTCTGCCTCTACCCCCTCTGGGCCCTGGTTGCATCTGGGCACCTGCTGGTGGAGTGACACTGAGGCACCGGTACTGCCTCTGCCCACCCTTGCTTAGCTCCCTGAGAGCTCAGGGAAAGTGGTTCATCAACCCCATTTCCCAGGCAGGAAAAGCGGGCAAGTGCCTTGCAAAACACCTATGAGCAACGACACGTCCAACTGCTCGCCTTCAGTGTCCGGGACCCAGGGCGGACACTCATTTCCGGCAAGTGGCTGGCCTTCGAGCCGCCCTGCGAAGGAGGGCACTCGCTCTCAACCCAGGGCAGGCTGTGGATGGGCTGGAGCGTAGAGGCCCAGGCCTGCCCCAGCCCAGCCGGCTGCCTGCGAGCCCTCCCGCCCGGCCCCGCTCACCGGCAGGACCGCGAAGGTCTTAATGGCCTGGTTCAGGCTGCGCACGAGGGCCCACTTGCCGGGTTGCAGGGCGCCCGGGCCAGGGTCAGCGGCGCAGCCCGAGGGCTCCATGTCGCAAGGGCAGCGCCGGCTGCGGCGGCGGCGGCGGCTCGAGCTCCCTAATTCACCTAATCCCTCCCGCGTCGCCGGGAACCCTAAACCCGGCCATCTGCCGCCGGCCCATGGCAACGGCGGCTTAGGTGACACTAGGGGTGGAGATGGGGGAGTGGGGGGATCCCGGGGTTTCCTGACGGTGGCTTCCCTGAGGTCACAGCTGCGGATAAGCGGTGCCAAAAGCAGTTTTGGACAAAATCAGCAAAATTAATAGAAAAAAACCACAAGCCTATCGTGGAATGGAAGAGAAAACTGCATTCGGGGACTGGTGGACGTCTCTTCCTGGCTGGCCAGCTCTGGGGACTGCAGACAGAAGCATCTTCCACCGGGCACCTGGAGGGAAAGGCGTGAGGACGCCGCCTCCAGCCTCTCAGCCAGCGCTCGCCCAGCTGCAGGCCACGTTCAGCCACAAGCAGAGCCCTGAGGCCGGGCGCATGACCTCTGGAGCCCCGTCGCTGCGCCCACGTGCAGCTCTGAGCTCACCCTGCAGTGGCCAAGTTGGCTCTGGCGTCCTGGCATCTGCCCCGGACTGGACTCATGACTGCAGCAGAGACCACCACGGGCCTCGAGACCTCCTCCACCTGCTCATGTCTGTCCTCCCTCTTTCCTCCTTTTCCTCTCTTCTCTCTTAGGGCTTCATTTTTAGCCCTCTGCATTCCCTGGAATCCTGGAAATGCCCGCAAACAACAGCAGGGAGCAGAGTGGGGAAGGAAAAGAAGGGGACCTGTGACTGCACACACAGCACAGATGCAGGCAGCCCAGCCTCAGGATCTAGCGCCCACCCCCGGCCCCAACTGACCGATGGCAGTGGTGCCCACCCCCTGCCTGCATTCCTTCAGGACCTTGCTTCCAGGGATTGTCCCCCCTCCTGCCAAACCCAGATCAAATACTGCCCTCAGTACCTGCCTGGTCACCAAGGCGCCCTGGCTTAGGGACCAGCTGCTCAGATGCAGGAGAGCGTGGAAATGGCTCACGATCGTTTCCACCTGCCCTTACAACCAGCCTTCACTGCGCTCTGGCTCAGACCTAAGTGTAAAGGACACTTCACTTCACCAAAGTGTGGAGGACACTCTCAAGGAGACTCGTCCTCGGAGCTCCTTGCCTAGTGGGGTGGACAGGTCCAG